ATATGATCGTTTTGTTTTATTATTTTTCATGTTGGAGTTCTCATAAAATTACTACATTATTCTGCTAATACTACATCTTTATTTGTGTAAAAAATATAAACCTTAGCCCTAATATTCAGTTGAATTCAAACTCCAAATAAAGAGAAGCTGTTAAACAAGATGGCGGCATGTGGCACGCTGACATCACCCTGAACTATAAAAACCCAAACAGCACATCCACATTAGTGAAAAAAAATCCAGATTTTCCAAAAATTAAGTCTTCAAAAATGTGATTAATCAATAAAATTAATTATTGCTGAGTCCCAGCTACCTGCCAGTGCGCTGGTGGCTCCCATGGCCCAGCAGGAGCCGCAGTACTGGGGTATGTGCTGGTTCCTGGTGACGCTCACATAGTTCTTCCCATTGATGTTCCTCCAGTCCCACGACGGAGGAAGATCCGACGCTTTGATAAACTCGTGTGGCCGCGCTCGAGTCCTACAGTAAAAATACAACAGAGAACCGGCTACTTTAAAACTCTGATTCTATACAATTCAAGCTCCAACACAGGCCTTTAAATTCTGCTACAAAATGTTTCTCTGATTAGCATTTCATCACCAGGTCTGACATCTATGATGTGCTGATGACTGATAAGTTTTCTGAAAATGAAGCAGAAATAATGTAATCTTTAGAAAATAAAACAAAATCCATCCATTTTTGTATATGATGCTGTAAACAGTAAATGCAGATTCATTAAAATGATGGGATTTTAAGCCCACTGAACATACAAAAAAATTTAAATAAAGATATTTCACATTAGAATTAAAGGGAAAAGTTTCTATAAAACAACTTAGTTTTAATTCCATGTCATCTTGTTTTATTTTACTAATTCTAACAACTTGCATCTTAGAGTTTCTCTTTATTTTTATTTATTTACTTTTATAATGAACGAAACAAAGTTTACTGAAAGAATTCGTTGTTATTCTCCTAAATTACAGGAACAAATATTTTAAAGACATAGATAAATATTTATCATCTTCTAACTTAAAATGATATTATGATAGAGACTGCAAACGTTGGTTGTACACTTATTTTATCCTAACTTTGACCTTAAATTGCTTTATCTGTTATTTTTCTCTCTCTGTGAGCAGATTACTAATCACAGATTATTAATCAGAAGTTGCCAGATTCCGTACGTCAACGCTTCTGTATTTATTTTGTCATCAACAGAATATTTTATCTGCGTCATTGTCAGTTATCTACGTGTTACCTACCGGACTGAGTCTGGTCTGTCATCTTTAATGGGCTTGTAACAAGGTTCCGATAGATATTTAGCGGTGCTGGTTTCCACAGAAACCGATGCTAACCAAAGTAGCAGCGGGCAAATATTTACAGTCGCCATCTTGACTCCTTCCTCTTTTCCTCCCATCGCTCAGACGTAAAGGATGCGGTTATGGAGCGCCCTCTGCTGGCTGGATAAACCACTAACAGCCCCTGTTCTCTACTGTAGAAGCGAAATAAGCTTCATTAATGACAGAAAACGAGAAAACTAACAGCATTATTTACCAGTTATTGGCTTTAAATAGCATTTTTAGTACTGATAATCCAAAAACATAGCAATATATGTGTAAAAAATTTAAGCGCACCACTTACTGAATTTGCCAATTACAATTTTTAATACTAATTTATATGCAAATAAAAATATTTTTACATGCATTTTATACAAATTTTTTAATATTTACATTGATTGAATGTGTAATTTATTAAATTACATATTTAATAAATATTTCCTTTATTAAATATTTATGAATACATATTTTTTTATTAAGTTTATTTAATACGGACAGACACAATAACATAAACAAACTGAATAAAACAGCAGCCTGATGCCTGTGAATAAAACAGCTGTGTTCTTGTATAATGGCGCTAATAGCATGATCTAATTTGCAGCACTTATCCCTAGATGGGCTGTTATAAACAGTATACCTATATAATTAAGAAATAGAATAGCAATAAGAAAATAAAATGAAGAAAGGTGACATTAACCTGTAAAATATTCAGGACAGCATTAAATACAAAAAAACCTAACAAATATTTTGCATATTATTTTATTGTCTATAATAATTTCTAGTCAAATAACATTAGCAACATTTAATAACAAGTAATGACTACATTTTAAGAAAATGTCTTATTTTAAGATTATGCATTACTGTATTTTAATAAAAATATTTTTAGCAATACCTGTACAATATTAATTATTTTACTTTTCCAAAAGCCTATTTTTCATATTAAATTGTAACTTCTAACTGTTTTTGTTCTCCAAGCAAGCAGTATAGTTGACAAATGTATTCTATATGTGGGGTGCAGACACAGAGAGACCGACAGGTGGAGCCAAAGAGCCAATTTTCAAGTCAAATACAAATGATTAAAGTATCAATACCTGGTAAGGTCTCTCAGAAAAAAAGACTTTCCACATTTGAAAGTCTGAATAAAGAATAATATGATATTTCTGAAGCCTCAAAGAGGATTAAAGGCAAGCAAACATGATTAGGTTTTAATAAAATATAAAATGCACAATTGTTTAATCATTTTTCTATTTTAGGTCCATAATTATTTCAATTCTCAAAGGAAATAAGTGATAGAGAGCAGACGTTTTGCATACTCAGCATGAATCCTTTAAATGACCGCCTGTTAAAATCGCATTATGCTTAATGCAACATAAAGGACTGGGTGTGTTATCATAGAAAATAATCAGCTCTTAGCAGTGTTATCACATTACTAGAGGAGCCTGAACATTTCTGCATCCAGGGAAGTAAAAATGCTTGAGATTTAAATGACTGAAGATTAAATCTGCATTAGCCCCCGAATAAAGCCTGGAGAGAAAAGAGAAACTACTTGCAGCAAATTGAGCTCCAAAAATAGATGGTGAGAGGAAAAAGTTGGTTTAAAATTCACTTATTTGATGTGAAGCAAAGTTTAGAGTAATTTCTGTTTGGAAATCTACATATTTATCTACAGATAAATATGTTGATTTCCATATTTATCTGCATATGGAAAAAACATAGTTCCTGTTTTAGTTTTTAAAAAATCTTTATACTTTTATTTTACCAGTTTTCATAATCCACACATATACTTATTTATTTCCAAAAATATATATTTATAAAATGCTATTATCTCATGCATTTAATTCTTCCTCCCTTATATATTTCCTATCAATTTTGACAGGATCAGTCTTCCATATAATTTGCCCTGATGCTCATTAGAAAAAAAGGTATCTCTGAGGGAAACAGAGGTTTTATTGACTTAATAAAAACATAAACAATCATTCACAGCAGAGCAAAATTTTATTATTGGAGCAGTGAGATGTTTGTATGGACGACTGATATGAAAATACATTAATGTGGAAATAAATCATTTAAACATATATTCCCAAATATATTTACTGATAAACAATTTTATTTCCCCATACATTTAATTATTCCTCCTTCAGTCTTTGACAGGATCAGCCCTCCATATCAGAATCTCCAAGAAGTAAAATGTGGATTTGGGAGAGAAAAAAGAGCTTTCTGATGGCAGCCAAGGTTTTACCAACTTTATACAAACATGAACAGTCATTCACAATAAAACAATCACTGAACAATGACTCTGAGCATCAGAAAAGTATGACGCCTGTGTAACTGAGAAGGGGCTGAGTGTTCCCAGAAGGAGTCGTTGACCTCCGATGATTTACTTCCCTGCTTTTAAACCTGCAGTGAACTGAGGCATTTCAGTCAAATCTGAAGCTGAAACTGTCATGTGTTGAGGGTTGAAGTGGTGAGGAGAGACGCTGAGAACCCAGGTATGGTGAAGATAATGATTTTTAATGAAGACGACGCTTGGAGTAGTCCATACAGGCAGCACGGCAGAGACTAGCACACAGCTAAGTACCGGTAGCAACTGATTAACGGAACTAACATGCAAGCAAACACAATCCGGGACTTAGCAGTACGACCGGAGAGCGATACAAGTATGACAAACAAAGACAAGGACCCGACGAAGAACACAGAGACAGGCGAGTTTAAATACACATGGAGGGAAATCAGGTAAGAAGACACACCTGGGGGACAATCAACGGGGAGGACAGGACAGAGACTCACAGGAAACAGGGCTGAACACAGAAAACTCAAAAATAAACACACAAAAACACGGATCCTGACAGAAACGACCTCCAACCACATATCGTATTTTCTTTGAGGGCGGCTGTTCTGTCCTGAGAGGTGCAGTTAAACCCCATCAAACTTTAACCTGCGGATGCCATTAAAAGCTGCACTCCATCTTTGCTTTGGTGCTTCTTCAAAAAGCAGAAATGATTCTGAATTATGCAGGCGAGAGGTTCGGCCGGTGGGGCTGTAAATATTTTAAGAACGTAATGCGGCGTTACAGGCAATCCGTCAACATGCAGATTGTTTTTGATCAAACCAACATCCGTTAAGCGAGCGTTAGCATGAGCTTCTTCCTGCTTTCTGAAGAGGCTGAACAGACGTCAGCCATCGTTTCAGGGGAAGCAACAATTTGGAAGAAATAAACATCTGAGGGACACAAACAAACAAAGAGAATAACTGTACAGCTGAGTTATTATGGAAAACCAAATGAATTAAATTCTGATTATCATTTATTGACCCACATGCAGAAATCACTCAGACAAAACCAGATTTATTTACAGTTTTATTAGTGCAAATACACCTTTAAAGAGTTAATATTTTTGTCAATTATTTAAGAAAGTGAAACTTAAATATTAAATAGACTCACTACACAGGTAGTGGAATATTTCCAGACTATATTTCTAGAAGTTTAGCTGGTTATGGCTTACAGAAAATATAAACATTCGAGTATTATGTAACTGCAAATAGAAAAGGATGCTTTAAACTGGAAAGTGTGCTCATTTGCTTTAAATTTCATTTACTATACTGGTAGTTTCCAGGTAGGTCATGTACAGTTGGAACAGTGCAAATACATCTCAAAAAAATCAAAATATCATGAAAACGTTCAATATTTTATTTCAGAAAATGAAGCTGATATATTATATAGTCTCTCTACACACAATTTTGATGATTATGGCTCCAGAAAACCTAAAGTTGAGTCTCAGAAAATTAAACAATGACGGGTCAAAGGTCAGACAACACAACTCCAAGTGATTTGGTTTAGCTCTGAGAGAAACGTTTTACAGTTATGAAGCTGGGGTTTGTTTTTCAAGCCAAACCACCTTAGAATGTTTTACTACATGAAACACAACCTAAAGTACAGAGCAAAACCCTCCTTAGCGTCATAAAAAATATGATTCAGTAAAGTTTGTGAGGCAGAAATGTCACTGGAACCATTTCAACCGGATCGTTAATCTGGTTGTTTTTATGATATTTCCTGAATTAAGCTGCAGGTGCTTGTGGAGCAGCCTGACCCGAGGCTCCATCTGACCCAGAGATTTTGTCGATACGTTCCTTCTCAAGGTTTGGATGAATAATGAATCAAAGACAAGATGTTACTTAAGATCTGCTTCAAACAGCGCCAGCCAATCACCAGCTGACATGTTTTGGGGCAGCGTTATTGATCGCCTTCAGCGCCGACTGCTCCCACATTGACCTAAAAAAAAAAAAAAAAAGTCCAGCCGGTCTGGATCGCCGGGGAAAAGTGCAACTTCAGGTTAGAGGTTTTCTGCTTTTAGCTGTTTACTTTTCTTATTTCTGTGAAGCGAATCGTCGCTCTGGTGATTCATCACATCACGAGTTGGACCTTTGCTGCTGTGAGTTTCCTTTTTCAGAAGCGCAGGGAGGTTCGCTGGGATCGTTTTGGGTTCCTCCCATCACTGCCCTCCTCCTCTGCTCCTCCTGCACTGCAGACAAAAACAGCTTCCTTCTCAGAGAAATCAGCATAAACATTTATTTGCTGTGCTCATGTGCACAGATAAAATGTTTTAAGTAAATGCTCCAAACTTATTCATTTTTTTTTTAGTGTGACTTGATTTTCTTCATCAGAATAATTAGCAAGAATCGAACAGACAAATAAAATGCTTCACTGTCAGCAGAGGTTTGAAATGAAGAGGAACGTTTGTCTAAAAATAATCTCCAGTAAACACCAAATGAGTCAGCACAAACTTTCTGAATACACTGGAGCTCTTTTAAACAACTTTAATTTTAATGTTGGAGTTTCTTAAGAACACAAACCTAGAAGAAAAACATCACGAGTTTAGATATTTTTACATGTTTACTACTTAATGTCGCTGTGTGACATGTAATGAGACGTGTTGCTGACAACAGGAAACACATCCACAGTGGGACGCGACATCTTTGCTGAAATGTTTCTGTCCTGATGAGGGTTTTTCCTGGTGACAGCAGCCGGATCCGCAGGGAACACGGCTTTCTGAACACAGTTAGAGGATGTGAGCAATGGGATGAAAAGCTCAGACAGGAAAACGACCGTCTTTTCCTGTTCCTGCTCCAGCTGACTCAGGATGTTTTAAGGTCGTGTGCTGCAGCTTCTGTGGCTCGATACTGATCGCAGAAAGCTCTAAATCCATAACTAAATCTTTTAAAAAGCTCTTTCTCCAAGCAAACTTTGTGATCTTTTACAATTGTTTTTTTCTGATCATCTTTGAAGGCTTTTCTTTAGACTTTTACCATTTTTTAAAACTAATTTTTGAATAAAGTTGATAGCGTTCGAGGGCCACTGTAGATAGAAAAAAAAGAGTAAGTTTCCAGCAAAAAAATTCAGAAAATTTGAGAGTGATCTCAGGAATTTCCTGGATGAAGTAAGAAAATTTTTTATCCAGAACATTTCTGAGTTTTTGCAAGAGAAAAAACTCAGAAATTTTTACATTGAGATCTGAAATTTTCCAGAAAAAAAGAACTTTTCTGAATTTGAAGTTAAAAATTTGCTATAAAAAAGTTTTTAGATTAATATCAGAAATGCTCTAGAAAGAAACACGGAAATTTCTGAATTTCAAAAGTTTAAAATTTTGTGACTTTTGGAAATTTTCTGAATCTCAAAATAAATATATAAAAAAATCAACTTTTGAAATTCAGAAATGTCCAAATTGTTTCTAGGAAATTTCTTAAATTAATCTGATTATTTCTGAGTTTTCCTCAAGCAAATTTCAGCTTTTCAGACTTACTTATGTTCTTATTTTATTTTATTTTGTTTTTTTTCCAGAAAATTTGACATTTGAAGCTCAGAAATTTCAGAGTTTTTTTCTGTTAAATTTCTTAAATTATTTTTTAGAATTTCTGGGGGGTTTTGACAGAAATTTGCTCCTCATTTTTCCTATGTGCCTTAGCTCTAATATGCCGTTGTAAATAAGGTTTTTGCATTTTTCTTAATCTCTTTATGTCCTGATTACATGAAGTAAGCAAAGGTTTGCCTGATGAAGCTTTTCCCCTCCTTGTAGATGTAAAGACAAGGTGGAGAGACTTAATATCATTGATTTATTTCCCTATTTATTTACCAAATCATAGCTTGAGCCAGCTGAGGGAACCTTCGAAGGTTGTGACGTTGTTATAATTTTGAAGGAAACTCCAGAACTGGAAATGAAACACCCTGTAGGGGGAGGGCAGCCCTGTCAGAGAGAAAATAGCAGGTAAATTGTTTTCTGCGTTGTGAAAGGAAACATCTGCATTCGCCACAATACACATCCTCATCTGCAGGTCATAACTTGCATCACAGTGATTCAGTTTAGCTTCTATTCTTCCAGTTTACTGAGTGAATTAGTGGCCATAAAACACGAGAATAAAGGAAGTTTAGAGCAGTTTAACTTATGAAACGTGTCTGTCACCAGGCCATAAACTGGGTGTGTTTTTGACTGATTCAACTGAGTCAGACTTGCAGCTCCTTGAAAATGTTTCAGACTTCTTGTGTTTATACTCTGTGGTACAGTTCACTGCAAAAACACAAACTTTAACCAACTGTTTTTGGTCTTGTTTCTATTGCAAATATTTTAGTACACTTGAAATAAAACACAACTAACTTATAAGTAACTTTTCAGGAAGATACAGGAGCTTGTTTTAAGAAAAATAATTCCTGACTATTTATGGAAAAGTTCTAGGTTTATTGGCAGATTATTTAACTTATAACAAGATTTGACAACGTTGATTACAGCAGCAGTGTCTTCACAGGTCTGAGTAAGCTGATCCAGAATGTTGCTGCTGGTGTCCTGACTAAAACCAGGAAGTTAGAGCTCATCACCCAGTTCTACAGACCTTCACTGCTGCTGGTGTCCTGACTAAAACCAGGAAGTTAGACCTCATCACCCAGTTCTACAGTCCTTCACTGACTCCCTGTAGCTCAGAGAACAGAGTTTAAATCACTGGACGGCTCAGCAACACAAGATATTACAGATCTGCTGTGTTGTATCAACCTTTCAGAACCTCTCTGGTCTCCTTGTTCTGGTTCTGGTCTGCATCCCCAGAACCAAACATGGAGAAGCAGCAGCATTCAGTTTTTTATATTCCTCTAATCTGGAACAAACTTCCAGAAAACTGAAAAACTACCTAAACACTGAGTTCCTTTTAGTCAAGGTTGAAGAGTTGCTTAATAACCTGGAAATGGATTAATTCAAGTCTTCGCCCCTATTCGACGGTGATTACTCTTTTTATGATGGTATTTATGTTTTTATCGTTTAAAGCACTTTCAGCCGCTGGGTTGCTGACATGTGATACAAAAATAAACTTGTCTTCTTCTCTGGTTAATATTCTCCTCCCCCGGCTGTTTGTTTACGTAGACGGCCGTATTCTGACGGGTCCGGTGATGGATTGAACTCTAACCTGTCAGACGTTCAAAGGTTGGGATGTTGATTTTGAACCAAACTCCACTTTAAACCTCTCCACAACTTTAAACTGGACCGGTCTCAATGATGCAATTTGTTCAGTAATGTTTTCCAACAAACTTCAGAACAGCTGTATTTATTTTATAATAACACAAATATTGTCTCTATTAACCCAATATTTGACTTCTGGAGGCATTTAGTTACGTGAGGTATCAGAATAAAGGGAACTGAATACTTTTTTATTACACACTTTTATTTGTTTAATATGTTTTTTTTTTAGTTTGTGGTTTAATGTGACAGAAATGTGGAAAAAAATCCAGTCCCTATGTGCTGATAGTCTGTCTTTTAATGCTAAAGACACTTTTATTTTAATTAACCAGGCAAGTTGATTGAGAAAAAAACCTCTAATTTTCAACATGTTCAAAAAAAATATTAAAACGCTACACAAGAGAATATCATAAAACAAAGAAATAAAACAACATATTCATGCTGACTAAACGTACTATGTTAATTATAAGTCAATAGTTTTGTACATTTAGTAAATTAAAAAGTTGGATAATTTGGTTATAACCGCATATTAAAGTTGAGATATTCCAGCTTTCTGTGTTTTTTGCTGTTGTGCAGAAATTTTCCCATTGTGAGACAATAAAGGATAATTCTATTCTATTCTATTCTATTCTATTCTATTCTATTCTATTCTATTCTATTCTATTCTCTGTCCTGCTTTGTGAAATTTGTTTTTCCACCAGTAGACGTCGCTGCTTCTCTTTAAAAACATACAATTTAATGATAATCAACGTCTCATAAAGTGAACGTTCTCACTTGATGTTCATTGAATTAAAGAACTGGTATAACTATATAAAAGGATAATAAGAGTTATAAACCATAGATCACGTTATTGTTCCTCTACTGTTGCCTTTCCTTTCCTTATTTCGGGTTTTGCTCGTGTTCTGGTCCCACCTCTCGGTTCCAATTATCTCAGGGGGCGGGGCATACCTCCAGGCGCTCACTTCTGATTGGCTGACGCGGCTGTCCCTCTCTGGCTCGTCCTGTATCCTCTTGTTGGACAACAGAGTCAACAGCAGAAGTCAGAAAGTCAAATTTGTGTAAGTGAGGAGGGGGGACTTCAGACACAAATGTGGACTTACCCGCTGTTTCTGCGTCTTATCCCAGCCATCCAGAACCAGGGAGTGAAAACAGCGCTGGTTAGTAGTTTCTGCGGCGTCTAGTTGAAGTTTTTTTGCGTTTCTAAAGGAGGTTAATTGGACTTGCGGACTTGTTGGCTCCTCTCTCCGGTTGTTTGGCGCGCCGTTGCAGCGCAGCTCGTCTGCGCACCTGAATCCGTCACCATGACCTCAGCGCATCTCCGCTTCTGAAAAACTACCATGCTGGCATCGGTAAGGGGCGACACCTCCTGCTGTGGCGACCCACGGTGAGTGCGCTCGTTCCCCGCCTGTGGAATGGCCGGAGTCCAGGTGTCTGCAGCAGCGGAGAGCCGATGTGGCCGCCCGCAGGAGCCAGCCGGGATCTGAGAGAGCGCACCAGACTGGGATGCGAGAAGAGAGAGCCTGAGCACAGAGGGACGAACTCCGGCTTGTTTTACCTGGACCTGGGCCGCCCGGAGCCATGGCCTCTCAGATGGTGTGCGGACTGATCTTTAGGCTGCTGCTGCCCATTTGTCTCGCAGCTGGTGAGTTTAACCTCTATTGCATCACCAGAGGTGGCTGGAGTACCCAAAAGTTGTACTCGAGTTAGAGTGGCACTGGTTTAACAGGCTTTTACTCAACCAGAAGTAAAAAAGTAGCCATCCAAAAAATACTCAAGGAAGAGGAAGAAAACCCGGATTTGGTAAAAAGTCTACTGAAGTACTGAGTAACTGATCAAATAATCAATCATTTCAGGTTTAAAACATTACCTCTAATGTGAAATTAAGTGGTATTTTAAGGACGAAAATCGCAATAATTCATATAAGTAACAGAAAATAACAAAGTCAGGCAAAAGAAAATGCTTCCAAATCAGTTTCTTTCAATGAAAAACTTATAAAACTTTTCACAAAAACTGCAGGTGTGTGTCTGTTTGGTGAATTTTTGATTAAAACATGTTTGTTTTTCATTCAGTGGGTAGAAAATCCAGAAATTTTACTCAAGTAAGAGTAGAAATATTTCAAATAAGTTAGTCAAGTATGTAATTGAGTAAATGTAACTAGTTACTACCCAACTCTGAGTAAAAGTAAAAAGTAGCCGTACAAGAAATTACTCGAGTAAGATAAAAACAGTATTTGGTAAAAAGGCGACTCGAGTACTGAGTATTTGATCAAATGATCAATGATTTCATATTTAAAAAGTACACAATCAGATGGATCAAAATATAAATTTTAATGGAAATTTTGGTATATTAAAGATCAAACTGAAAGTAATTCATATAAACGTCATTATAAAATAAACAATTATATATAAAATAAACAAAATAAACAAAATACATTTTTCCAAATTAGTTTCTTTCAGTAAAAAACTTATAAAACTTTAACAAAAGCTACAGGTGTGTGTCTGAGTACGGTGATTTTTTTGGTTAAAACATGTTTGTTTTTCATTCAGTAGGTAGAAAATCCAGAAATTTTACTAAAGTAAGAGCAGAAATGCTTCATAATAAAGTTATTCAAGTAAAAGTAAAAGGTACAGCATAATAAAAATACTCCTAAAGTGAATGTAACTGAGTAAACGGTCAGATGTCATTAGAAATATGAATCAACTCAAGATGCTGCCGCTACTCATATTGGGCTTTCATAGCAGCCTTACTTTGTTATGAAAGTTATTCTAATGCATAAATATGGTTGACTGGACATGGAAGTGGAAAAGCAGTGAAATCTTCATATGGGTGTCCAGACTGAGCCGCTAACAATTTCAGAGACAGACGGCAAAAAAAAAATAAAATAAAATATTGAAGACATGCATCTATGTCTTCAATCAAGATGTAAAACCAAATAAATGAATACATAAATTTGTAGAATTGAAATAAAAATGTATTTAAAGACATTTATTAATGTTTTAATGTTAATTTTATTAGTTTATTTAGTTTTTGTTTTTCTGTGATCTGAACATGGTTCTCTGTGGTGGCCAACATTTTTCCAGACGGGGCCATGGCCCCCCCATGACCTCCTCTTGGAGGCGCCACTGTGTTAAACAGAAACAAGTTAGGGAGTAAAAGAGAAATACTGCAGCTTTTCTAAGGAATTTGTGCATGAAATCACTGGCTTCAAGTCTTCCTCAATGCAACTGGATCTTCCTCTGAAACCAAATTCTCACTTATACTTGAAATAGAAAGTTTATTGGGCTGATGTTGTCCCAGTTTGCAGCTTTTCATAAATGTTGCATTTTAAAACAAAGCTGCCTTCACAGTAACGTCTGACTGGTAGTCTGTTCATTTTCTGAGCAGATAAACTTGTCTGGAATTTTTTATAGTAGATTTTTAGACACTTTATTGTTTAAGTCGCAACAATTTGTTGAAATTTGACCAGAAATTTTACAGGGCCACTGAAAATATATCCTGGGGCGCTTGGTCCCAGTAAAATGGCTCTGGCAGCACTGGTTATGAAACCTTTAAAGACTAAATAAACTGCTGTTAAACCAACGTGGCCACGTATTTTACAGTTTTCTCACTCGGTTCAGACTCCTTCAGTGTTTTGCTGTCAACTTATGGGAGCCTCTGTGGGTTTTACCAATGAAAGTTTCAAGAAAATCATCAAAAATACAGAAAGCTAACGTTAAAATAAGGCTCCTGGACCGAATCTGTTTATTTTGAACATCCAAATATTTTAAAGTAATTTGTTTACTTTAATTACGATGTCACCAGGTGTCTGAACCCATCCAAGCACTGAACAGACCCTTAGGACAGATAAATGTGTGGATGTGCCATAACTTTCTCCAGCTGAACAGAAACAAAACCAAAGTTATCATTTTTTAACCTAAAGAGGAACGATCAAGAATAAGCAGCTTCAGTTATTACAGCTTGAAACTAGTGATCAGACCTGAACCTTCAGAGCCACATAAAAAAGGTTACAAAGTTGGCCTTCTATCACCTGAAGAACATTTCCAGGAATAGAGGACTAATGTCTCAGAAAGATCTAGAGAAACTCATCCATGTGTTCATCTTTAGTCACATTGATTACAGCAGCAGCGTCTTCACAGGTCGGCCTAAAAGATCCAGAAGCTGCTGCTGGCGTTCTGACTAAAACCAGGAAGTTAGATCACATCAGCCCAGTTCTAAAGTCCCTCAGAGAACAGACTTTAAAATACTGTTAGTTTATAAATCACTGAATGGCTTAGCACCATAATACATTGAAGATCTGCTGTGGTCATAGCAACCTTCCAAAACCTCTTTATCTATTAATTATTCTGATGGTTAATCAAACAATCATCAGATTTTTAATTTAAATTTAACTTTGTTTATATATATATATATATATATATATATATATATATATATATATATATATATATATATATATATATATACACAATGTTAGAAACACATTGAAAGATGAAAATTATTGAATAAATTTCAATAACATTTGAGGAGTTTTGGTCAAAACATATTTACAGACAAAATATGCAAAATATGCGTATTTTTTTTTATTATTGGGCTGAATACTTAAATCAGGCCTGTCACAATAAGCAATAAACTAATTAATCACATGATTTACTGACTCAATGATTTTCATTTGTTTGATTTATCGTTTTTCTCTCTCTTTCTATGAAAACTGGTCTCAGCCTGGTGCAAAATGTAAAGTTTATTTATCTTTGAGAAAGTGTTCTTGCATTATTCTTCCATTATTATCATAATATTACCTGAAAATTGTCTCAAAACAACATTATCGTTTATCGTAATAAGTTCTGAGACAATTTATCATCTGGGAAAATTTGTTATCAAGACAGGCCTAATTACGTTAATGATTGATTGATTACTAAGTTAGTTGACAGTTATCTTAATTGATTAATCGTGATTAATCGTCACTTGCCTTCACTCATTTGCCAGTCAGTGATGGTAAACAGAGTCCAGTGGGTTTTCCTTACAAAACGGGCTTTTTAGTAGCTGTCCACTGTACTTTCATGTACACTGTACTTTCATGTACTCAGTACATGATATTTCATGTACTGAGTACATGAAATATCACCAATTTATACATGAATTTAGCATCTCAGTTGCATCTGTTCTCACTCTGTGAGGCATCACCGCGGGTCACTCTGGACACATGAGTGCAGTTAGTTCAGTTTTTAAGAGCGTTTTTTGAGTTTGACCTCAGGACGCTGGAGGGTCATCTCTCAGGATCGCCCCCCGCCAAAACAGACAGTGCTGCCACAAAAACCAGCGGCCCTCAGTTGCAGGCGCTCACTTCAGCTTTCACCTGGAAGGAAGAAAAAGAAAGAAAAACGTGTATCTGAGTGTAGATGGTTGCACAATCCTGCAGAACTCTGCTAGAACCGCCTCATTTAAGGATAAAATCATACTATATTGTTCTGTTGCAAAAGGTTTTGCACAAAATTAATGACAGTTGTCAGATGCTGCTGACTTAATCTGCTGTTCTAAAAGCCAAAGTGATTTCTGTAATTTGTCAAAGTGGTTTAGTTGGTTAGTTTCTCATTGCTGTTGTTAGTAATTAAGCAGCTGACAGTGTTTCTGTTATTAGTTAACATTTACAAGACACTGACATTGTTTTCACTGCTGTTTCACATTCCCCTGGTTTACTGTATAGGAGTCTGCTTTATTATCTAATAAGTTTGTTACTGTTGCTACTATTGAAGCTTTCTGCCTGATTCACTCCTTTGCTATGCAGACGTGGACAGTGATTCACTCTGGCTGCTTTGTTATTTTTCTGAGCTTATAATTGTTCAAACAAGGATTTAAAGTTTATACAGAGACAAAAAGAATGTTTCTAAAGATGTGCACAACTCCTGGAAGGTTGCCAAGTTTGTGCTTGCAAAAAAAAAAAGACACCTTAATCTTTTGTCTAAAAGTGAGCATGTGGTTTTAATAGGTGAAAGGTGAAAAGACGTCTGTACAAAAATCTCTCCGTTTTGCCAAGGTGGTAATGAATTAGGATGAATTTGGACACTAAAAAGCTAAATAAAAACAAGAACTGGCCCAGCTTAAACAGCCATTCAGAGGAACGGTTGGGCAATGAATCAGTAACAACATATATGGCGATAGTGAGCAATATCATAGTTAATACGTCTGAGAATATTCAATAATATCACAGAACCGCACAGCATTCTGGGAGATGTAAGCAGAGGAAAAGCTTTAGACGCTCAGTCTTTCATGGCTAGCTAAACAAGGTTGGGTTGCATCAACTAACTCACTCACTCTTTTGGTTACCTAGCAACACCATGTACCGTAAATGTGTTACGCTACATGGTGTAACACATGTATTGCCAAACACGTCACCAGTTTGGCAATATTTCAGATATTTAAAACAAAAAAACTAATCAATAATTATGGATATTGACTGATTAAAACCCTTATATCATTGCCCTGCTCAGAAGATGACCATGAAGTGTTTGGATGGGGCTGAGACGGACACGAAGGAAGGTTGATGTTGTGTTTTTTCTCTTTTGATTTGGCAAAATGTTTTGTGAACATTCATGAACATTATTAGCTTTTGCCTCCATTCTCAGCTGTGTGATCTGGAGATT